GCCTCCAAGAGGGCGGCCGCATCCCAGCGCCCTGGACGCCGGCCTCCGGGCTCTGCACTGCGCCCCTACATCCCCCTGGGCTGCTTATGCAGCAGCACAGATGCTTTTATCACACGGCAAATGATGTGGCCCAGCTACGGGATTGCAGCAACGGGCTTTTAGACCAGCAGGTCCACAGTGTCAGGCTGACCTGCACTGCTCCGAGCGGGGAGGCAGGCTCTGAGCGGCTTGGTGCGTGCAGCAGAACTGGCTTGGGGCTCCCAGGGCCTTGCCTCCCTGGCTAGCATCACTCCTGCCAGGTTAGAGGAAGAAGGGCTCCTGGTGGCCGTCTACGAGATGGGAAGACAGAGGTGTTGGGAGACAGAGCCTGAAAGGGCCCCGAAGGCCACCCATGGGGACCAGTGGCTCGGCCCGCTCCTGGGACCACGGTGTCCCCTGCATTTGCAGAGCTTCAGGTTTGGGGCACCATCCCGGACAAGGTCAGCACTGTGTTGCAGAGGAGAAAACACGGCGTGGGGAGAAGGCGCACTCACTGTCCCCAGGCACAGGCTGGGTGAGGAGCGGAGGGGCTTGCTGCGTGGAGCCCTGGGGCTCAAAGAGGAGGTGCGAACTGTAAGCCCAGCCCACGCTGCTCCCTGGTCACTGGGGCGGGGGGGGGGGGGAGAAACTCCGTGGGGCCCCCCAGTGCCCGGCCTGCAGCTCCCGCAGGTGCCAGGGTCTGGAGCCCCGGACACTGCCAAGCACCAGTGCCCTGTGCCCCGGGGCCTCTGGCCCCTGCTGTGGGCTGGGAAGCCCACCATGGCCTTCGTGTACACGGGGGTCATTTTTGACCTGTGGGCTCAAGTCCAAGTGGATGGCTGCCACTCCTCACGTGCTTCTGGTAAGGTCCCCTTTGTGGGTGGATGGTGGGGAACCCATGCCTCCGCAGGGCACCACCTAAGCACCTGGCCCAGGAGGCATGCCCGCCCTCAGCACTTTTGACCACCTTTATCTTTCTAACACGTGGAATAAATTTCACAACCAGGCTGATCCCACGTGCGTGGTGGTGCACACAGCCTCCCAGCGTGCCTGCAGGCCGAGGCCGGAGGACCACACAGCTGCAGCCCAGCGTGGACAACTTAGACAAGGTCTCCGAGCAGGAAACAGAACCAGGCTGGGCTGTAGCTCAGCACAAAGGCCCTGATCAATCTCCAGTACCCTGAACAAACAAGAGAACCTGATGGTTCAAGGCGTAATTCTTTATATCATTCTTCAGCCAAGAACGGAAAATTGTGATTGAACTGAAGCACATATTCTAATAAGTGTAAAAGTTTGTCCTTACCTTCCAGCGCGTACTTCATATCGAGCGCAAAGAGAGTCCACATGATCTCAGCGCTTATCTTCCCCATGTTGAGCTCCTGAGGAAACCTAGACCGAAACACGGTTCATTAGTGAGCACATCAGAGGAGGGCCGCGTCAGGGAGAGCAGAGTTGAATCCCACTCACACGCCTAGACCACAGCGCAGCTCAGCACGGAGTGCAGAGGCTCGGGCGCTCCTGCCAGTGAGGACAGGGGCTGCTGAGCAGGTGTTGAGACCCTGCACGACGGAGGGAGACCCTGCGCCCGGGGGGCTGTCAGAGCCCTGGAGCCACAGGTGGGGGCCTGTCCTGGACTCCGCCTTTCAATGGGTGCAACACTCTGTCTGTCTGTCTGTCTGTCTGTCTGTCTGTCTGTCTCTCTCTCTCTCTCTCTCTCTCTCTCACACACACACACACACACCTCACATACACGTGAGTGTGCACACAGTGCACATGTATATGTACACATACAAAAATATATGCATCCATATTTTTGGATCCAAAGCAGAGTATGTTTGGTTACCGCCACCAATCAATTGGATAATTGTGTCCATTGATATTTTAAAACTTAAATGCAGAGTTTTTATATTTAACAAAAATATAAACACAGAACTTTCTTTTGATCAAAAAGTTAATATATATAAATTAGTTTTAAGCATGAAATTTGACTTCCTTGACATAAAGATAGCTTTAAAACAATTTGTTTAGAAATGCTTCACTGCACAGCTACTGACATCATAATATTTGTAGAATATCAATGTTCACGTCATAGACACGAGGCACCAGCACTGTAAGTGACCTAAGGAGTGCTTTAGCTCCAGCAGTGCAAACAGATTGCTCGCTTTTTTTTTGTGGTGTTGGGGACTGAACCTAGGGCCTTTGCAGTGAGCACATCTCCAACCCACTTTTTACTTTTTAAGTTGAGTCAAGAACATTAACATGTTCAAGCAAAAAATAAAAAATGTATCAGTTCACTGCACAATAGTCCAATAAAAAGAACACTGGGAAGTATCTCTCATAAACACAGATGGATAAAATAGCACATTAGATCTTAGATTAAAATGACACCGTGTAATTACCAAGGAATGTTCATCTCAAAAATTGCAAAGTTGGTTCAAGAATGAATCAATGAAGTTTATCACAAAAATATATGAAAGGAGAAAAATTTTATGATCATTTCAATAGATGTACAGAAGGTATTTGCTGAACTTCAATCTTTATTTGCAATATAAAAAACATTAGAATTAGGAATTAAAGTAAACTTTTTTCACCTTATAAAAAGAATCTATAAACATCCAGGCCAACACTACACTTCAGGTTCCGCTAAGATCAGAACAGCACCGCTGTGCTCACTCCCAGGACCCAGTAGACTCATGAGGTTCTGACACGCTGCCAAAAGCAAGAGTAGGAAATGGGAGGCACACAGGTGGTGAGAGAGGTGTAAAACTCTTTGTAGATGTAATTTCTACATAGAAACTGGTCAAATAACCACTGAAAGTTATTTCTTTGAAAAAAGTCTAAGAAACTACCAAGAAAAGCTACTAGAAATATGTTCTCAGGATACAAAACTATGTGTTTCTAACCGCTGGAAATTGAAATTAACATAACATCTTTTGCAATAGTAGCAAAAGTTATTAGATACTTAAGTATAAATCTTAGAAAATTTATATGAAGAGAACCACACAGTTTCAAGATAAACTAAAGGAAGTTTAATTAAGCAGAGAAATGTGCTGCACTCGTGGCCCAGTGACCTGGTGCTGTTAGAATGTCAGTCGTTCCCAGACTGGTGGGGAGCTTTGGTGTGCGCCCCATCAGAATTCCGCAAGGAACTTTTGTAGCAATTGGCAGGCTGGTTCCAAAACTGACATAGTAAAGCAAAAGAACTAGAGAAGCGAAAATGAAATTAAGATGAAGACAGACTGCTATGACTAATCTTTGCAGTCCTCTGTTGTAATAAGTGTCCTATGTCTTCAAATACAAGATCAACTTGTTTTCAATAAGAGGCAATAGAAAGTCAATAGAATAATCTTTTTAATAAGTGATGATGGAAGAGTTGAATCCATCAAAATTAAAAAATCAAACAAACAAACAAACACCACCAACAAAAAACTAAACCAGAACAAAGGATTGCAAGTTACCAGCCAGCCTGGGTAGCAGGGACCGAGCAAGACCCCAGCTCCACGGGAGGGTGGGGCAGGGCGAGGGTGTCTGAGCTCACACCTCACGTGGAGAGCCTGGGTCTACGCCAACACTGCACGTCCCGAACAGAATCTCAGCATGTCTGACATAAAACTTAACTCAAAACAGATCCAGCTCTCGATGTCAAATTTACTGTGACACTTCTGACAGAAAGCAGACCTTTATGACTTTGTATAAGGAAGAGGTTGCTTAGGTGTGACACAGAAAGTGCAATCCATGGGCCCTGGAGACAGCTCAGCTGTCTAGCGCCTGCTGGGCATGTGCAAAGACGGGTTTGGTCCCTAATACTGCGTGCCGTGCCAGGGGTGCTGAGCTGGCCACTGAAACTGGGCATGATGGCGTGTTCCTGTAATCCCAGTGCTAGGGAGGCTGAAGCAGGAAGAGCACTACAAGCCCAAGCTGCATGGTGAGACCCCGTGTCACACACACAAAAACTTAAAACCAAAGAAAGTACAATCTATGAAACAAAACAGTGATAAACTAGACTTAATAAATTAAAATCTAATCTTCAAAGGGAGAAGAGAAAATGGAAAGGCAAATCACAGAGCACAAGAGTGTGTGCGACACCCACGTGTGACAGAGACCTGTACCCAGAGTGAACACATTCCACTTGGACCTGTAACACCAAACATTCACCCATAAGAAAGGAACAAATGACTTGAGGGACAACATTACAGGAAAGAGGAACAACGTGGATGATAGACAGTGAACTGGGTCATGTGAAAGATGCTGACACAGGCCACATACTGTCTGGTCCTCTTACAACACATTCTTCAAAGGTAAGAACGTAGGGACAGAAAGCATATCTGAGGTCACCAACATCTTGAGGTGGGGATAGGAACTGATTGTAAAAGAAACACGAAAGTACTTTTGGGGTGCATTATGAGTGGTACCTGAAATGTCCCCAAAAGACTCAGTCTGTGGAAGGTGAATACAGCGAGCTGAGGGGAATCTGGAGGCAGGTGAGTGGACTGTGGGGTGCTGCCTCTGATGGGTGAGCCGCGAGGGCTCCTTAGCAGCTGGGTGGCCCCGGGACCATTGGGGCCAGGGCCTAGGGAGGACCCAGCTCCCTGGGGTGGTGCTCTTGTCCATGGCTGCCTCCTATAGGCCTTTTCCCTCCGGTCTTTGCTTCCTGATTGCCCCGGGGTGAAAGCCTTCCCCCACCGCGTCCAGCCACTGAATGCTGCTGCTGCTGTCACGGCCAAATGATCCTTCTCCAGGGCTTTATGGCAGGTATTTTGTCAAAGTAAGAAAACTCTAACAAGGGTAATAAAACCTTCTACATCTTAGTTTCAGTGGCTATGTGACTATGTCTCCCATTTCATCTGTTTCTGCTCTTCATTATTTACTACCTTCTACTTTCTTTGGGTCTACTTTTCTATCTCCCTCAATTACTCAGATAACTGACTTTCGGTCTTCCTAACATTGTGCTTAGCGTTTACAAGTTTTTAAGGGAATCTCTTTTACATATTGTTTTCACTGTTAATCTAGCAAAAACTGTTTTATAATTGCGTCCTTTCTTTGCCTCCAACTGCTAGAGACTTTCTCAGCATCTTCTAGCTGCTTCCTTCTGCTTTGACTGGACCAACCTCCAAGACCATTTCTGAACACTCTCATTCTTACAGAATGTGGACATTCACTTTATATATAATTATATAGTTAGTTAGATAACTCATCTCTTGTATCCTATCCCTCTCTGCTTCTTAGAGCTTCACTCTGAGCTTTTGCTCTAGACCTTGTTTGTATTTACTGGTTCTCTCTTCAGCTATGTCTAAGCTACTGTTAATCCACACGTTGAATTTCTTATTTAATTTTCTGTTTTCACTTCGAGAATCCTCATTTCATCCTTGTAGTAGTTTCTAGTTCACTGTGGAATTTCTCCATGTTGTTAATTCTTAAGTAAATTAATTATAGTTGTATCGGCTGAGTCTCTCAATTTCATTATAATGCCCAGTTACTTTTTGTTGAATGAAAGACTTTGCATATGAAAATGGTCTGTAAAATTGAGTCTCTGGCTGCTTGTCTTCCTCCAAGAATGATTTCTTTTTTGAGGCAGAAGTGCTTTGGAAAGGAGAAACGACCTCACCCTTCACAGGAGCTGAGGCCATCCCAGGCAGGCTGCCACACTGTCCTGCTCCACTGAGGATGCCGACCTTGGCAGCCCAGGGTCCTCTGGGTGCTGATGGGGACCCAGAGCGTTGGCACCACTTAGCTTTTTGCTCTCGCTTCCCCCATCAAGCCTGTGCTCGCCGGCTTCCCAGCCTGGCCGCCTTCTCTTCCCGTCTCCTCTTTCAGCACCTTTCCACCACTTCGGGCTTCCCGGGCCACATCACTTAGCTTCTAGAAGTGTCAACTTCTGAGCAGCACAGCGCTGGCTCCTGACCTCTGACCCCAAACCTCACGCAGAGGGCCCGGGACTCCTGAGGCCTGCTGCTCTCTGCTCTGATCCTTCTGCCCCTCCCCTCCTCCCCTCTTCTCAATTCTATCTCATTTAACTACGTTTTCTCTCTTCAGGGCACAGCCTTCTGCAGTTCCCACAGGGAGCAGCTGGCAGCAGCTGCCAGGAAGCAGGAGCAGAGTGTGAGGGGAGTGGGCGCTCAGGGCACGAGAAGAGTGGGCGCTCAGGGCACGAGAAGAGTGGGCGCTCAGGGCTCAAAGGAGCGGGCACCAGGAGGAAGGGGC